GAGGAATGTCTGAACAAAAATAATGAAAAACAGACCCGATGGCCACAGATTAAAAGTCACCCACCTTCGGCTTGGTAGCATCGTCTTCTGTCCACTGGGCCAGCTGATCTCTTTCTCTATGTTGATGTTATTGTTGTTAAGTGCTGTCGAGTCACAGGCAACTCATAGCGACACTATGAAGGATGAGAGTTGATACCTATAAAGCACTTGGTTCACAAGCATTAAATGAGCATTCTACTGCTTTCAACTTCAGTCTAATTCATAGTGATTCTCTACCAGGTTTCTGAGACTTTAACTTTTTATGGGGGAGCTCAAGTGGCCTAGTGGGTAGGGAGATTCGCTGCCAGCCCAAAGCTAGGTGGTTTGAACCCATCAGACCACCTTCTCCTATAGGCAGTCTTCTCCCATGAGATTTACAGTCTCTAAAAACATGCTAGAGGGCCACCTATGCGTAGGTTCCAACTTGAAGGTAATAAGTTTCTGAACTGAAATATTTATGGGAGGAGATTCCTCATTTTTCTTTCAAAAAGCAGCAGTTTTCCTGGTATGTAAAATCACCAATATTAAGGAGTTGAACAGAAGATTCCAGAGGGCAGCGCGGAAAGACAAAGTATTACAATGAAATGTGCAAGGAGCTGGAGTCAGAAAGTCAAAAGGGCTGAACTCACTCAGCATTTCTTAAACTGAATGAACTAAAGAAAATCTCGAGCTGCAATACTTAAGGATGCTTTGGGCAGAATTTTAAATGAGCCAGGAAGCATTAAAAGAAGATGGAAAGAGTATACAGTCATTGTACCAAAAAGCATTGGTGGACACAGAAGAATTTCATAAAACAACATATGAGCAAGGGCGTGTGGTAATGAAGGAAGAAGTTCAAGGTGCTCTGAAAGAATTGGAAAAAAACAAGGCCCCAGGAATTAATGGCATACTAATGGACATATTTCAAAAAAGAGATGCTGCCCTGGATGTGCTCACCAAGTTGTGCCAAGAAATCTGGAGGGCAACCATCTGGCCAACTGACTGGAAGAGGTCGATATTTGTTCCCATTACAAAGAAAGGTGACCCAACAGAGTGTGGAAGTTATCAAACAGTATCATTGGTATCACATGCAAGCAAGATTCTGCTGAAGATTATCCAAAAACGACTGTAACAGTTCTCTGTAATATCAGTAGAGAACTGCCTGAAATTCAGGCTGGGTTTAGAAAAGGCTGCCACACTAGGGATATTATAGCTAATGTGAGATGGATCTTGGCTGAAAGCAGAGAATACCAGAGGAATGTCTATCTGTGTTTCATTGACTATGCAAAGGCATTTGGCTGTGTGAATCACCACAAACTGTGGCAGACTCTGAGAAGAATGGGAATCTCAGAACACTTGATTGTGCTTATGTGAAATATATACTTGGACCAGGAGGTAGTCATCAGAACAGAGCAAGGAAATACTGCATGGTTCAAAATTGTGAAGGGTGTGCATCAAAGATGTGGCCCTTTCTCCATATCTTTTCAATCTATTTGCAGAACAGATTATCCAGGAGGCTGGACTTTATGAGGAGAAGTGTGGCATCAGGATTGGAGTTAGACTCATCAACAACCTGCGTTATGCAGATGACACAACCCTGCTTGCTGAAACTGAGGA